GACCTTTATGATTTTATGTACTCTTAGAGGCTTGTAGACAGATGTCAGGTGTATGGATAATTGTATGGCCTTATCGGCCTATGTTTCGAGTTTACTAATGGTCATGTCGGCTTTATAGGCCCGTATGTCACATATATTAGTTTGTATATCATGTTGGGTCTTCATATGTTGAGTATTCCCTTATATTTTATTCTTTTTATCTCATGACGGGTTTTCTGGCTCATTTACTCATGATAAAATGTTAAGAAAGATATGTTACTTTGGTACTCGGTTGAGTAAGGCACCGGGTGCCCGTCGCGGCCCTTCGGTTTGGGTCGTGACACGGCCTTATCCCCGGAAATTGCCCAAACACCTTCAGGACTAGGAGGAATAAGAAGAGGACGATTGCCTGCAGATAAATCGTAAGAGAAAGAATGTCGATGCTTCGAAGCCTATTGAGCCAGTGGCGGTTAATGAGGCCCACTCTAGAGCTGAAGAAATCTCCGAAGGGAGTTCAAACAAAGTTCCCGAACCATTATCTAGAAAGAAGGCACCTCATTTAAGGTATCATTACGAGGGCAAGGCTGAACTTCCTAACCTCGATCCTCTCCAAATAAAAGAAAATGCCTGAGCAGATCACTCGGGGTGATCAATGTGGATGATTCTCTCCTTGGACCTGATTTCTTCGAGGGGAAAATCCAAGAGGCTGTGAATATGAGATCTTCTGGAGTGAAAGTAAGCCATGAATGGCACTACATCTTTCAAGAATGCCTCGCAGGGCTTGAAGACGTCCCCGGCCCAGATGCTTTCTTCATTTTTGAACAAGTAAGTTTTCTGTTTTTATGACCGCGCCGTTATTTTAGCTGTTCTGAATGTTCTTTCCTCCCTCTTTATGAAGGTTGCGGTGCTCCAAAAGGGAATTCTCGAAGTCGCAAGACGAGCTTGCTCGATGCGAGGCTGAGCTTAAGAAGACTTTGGAGGAGAGGGACGTCGTCAAAGCCTATATATATTAAAAAAGAGTTGGAGATCCACAATCTCCGAGTTGAGTTGACGCAGGCATGCCAAGTATGGACCGAGTATATTGAAAAGGTAACACATCTATCGAGGGTTTGCTATGCACCGGTTTATATTGGCAACTGATATTTTTAACTTTGCAGTTTCAGCAGAAGACCGATTTGGAGGCTCAGCTTCAAGAGGAGCTTAAGATGAAAGAAAACGAGACCCAAGGTTTGAGGCAAGGTATGGACAATCTCGCCTATGAGAAGGAAACTTTAAGAGAGCAGTTAGCTTCGCTCGAACGCCAGCTTCGAAGCGCGAAGGAAGAGATCCAAGCTCGGGGCCTCGAGATCGAGGAGCTCAAAGTCAAATCTGCAGCTAAGCCGGCCAAGGCTGAATCTGATGCTGCGGCAATTATGGCTTCATATCGAGCCGATGCCTAGGCAGCTAATGCTTG